GGTACCGAACCTGCGCCGCTTGCCTCCATTAGGCTGGCTGGCACGATGCTCTTCGATCAGAGCCAAGTCGTCATCACTTCCCAACGGTGCCTAGAGTAGATCTCGAACCCGGGACCTGTGCTGGAAAGCACCACGCTCCAACGCCACACGTCGGACCAACGAATCGATCCACCATGCAACTCTACTGTTGCACCAAATTTTTCTATTTAAAAAAAACGCCAATCTCGATTGTATGGTATTAGATATGTAATTTTTCAAGGTGGGGAATTAGCGCAGATGGTAGCGCGCGTGCTTTGCATGCATGAGGTCCCGGGATCGATGCCCGGATTCTCCATGAAATTTGACTTTCAACCTTTTTTTGTTTTTTTGCTCCATGATAAAATCGCACAGTGCCGCAGCTCTTTCGCAAAAGTTTCTTTTCGAAAAGGGGGGCGGTTTCATTTCTTGTTCGGCTCCTAAAAATTCATTTCATTTATCAATTCGTAGCCTCTAGTTATTTTTTTATTGACTGAAGCATTCGTTCTATCTCTTACAATGAGCGATCTCGACGCCTGTTTTTCATGGAAGGCGTTTGCGCAAGCGTTATCGACAGAATTATTGACGTCGAGCGTTAAGGCCCGAAGCGAACTGTTTAGAAACAGGGTTATACCAGCGATTAAGGAGAATCCAATGGAAGACAAGGAGCTACTTGTGGTTCTCGTAGTTTTGAAAAGTACGGTTGGCCTATACCAGGACAAAGCATCCAGACACGTAGTGCTGGACACGCTAAGAGAGCTTAGTGCAAAGAAGCCAGATGTCTTTGTCAAGGCCATCGCCGCTGTCTTGGAGCCTGTGGTGGAGAGCGCGCAGCCCAAGAAGATTGCCCACCCGGATGCAATCGCAACGACGGTGGCCTACAGGTACTCGCTGCTCTCGTGGGTTGATCTGGCTCTAACCGTGGCTGCTTCCCAGCCGATGGCGGGCGATGCCGCATGGAAGAAGCTGGTTCTGATGGCTGCAAGGCTTCTATGGGGAGTTGCGCTGCCATCGCCAAATGTACGGAGCAGTTCCAAAGCCGCTTCGATCGCCGGTAGCGCGCATCGCGACGTCTGGCGCACGATCCGCAAGCATCCACACATGATCGAGCCCATGCTGACTGTCTTGGCTGCCGAGAGTACGAGTCCCGAGGTCGCGGTTCTCCTTGGCAACGTGGTAAGCACTGCAGCGCGTATTCACGACAAGGACGGCGCAATGAAGCAGATTGCGCCATTCAAGGACGCCATTGTCGGCTACATTGACCACATGCTGCTCGGCTCAAAGATCCCAGTGTCCTACTCGAGCGTCTCGGATATGCGCGACTTCCTTCAACTGTGTGTGGGCGACGAGTTCGAGGCACTGTTCGGCCCGTCGATTTCGAAGATGCTAATCCGCTCTCCCGAAGCTGCGCTGCCAACGTGCCTATGGCTGCTCCAGGCGCTGGACAAGGAGCGATTCGATATGACTGGTCTTTACATTGACGTGTTTGCCGAGCCGCTGGCGTCCAGCTTGTTGAAGAGCTCGAACGCCAACGTGCGCCAGTATGCGGCCGATCTGTTTGCGTACCTTGCCAATGTTCCAAAAACCAACGAGTCGGAGAAAAGTGCCGCGGAAATAGCAACTGGGTCCCTTGTGCGCGGCGGCTACTCTCAGCCTGAGCACCGCACGTCGTTCTACGAGCTGCTTGGCAAACCCAGCGGCGGATGGGCGTCGTCCGTGGTGACCCTGGCGGCGCTGCTAAAGATGACAGCAAAGGAGACACAAGAGGCACCTGTGCATGCGCTCTTCTCGGCAATTGGCAAGCACGTGGGGGTTATCATCAAGCATCTAGCGACCAACGACGGCAACAAGGAGTGCGAGGAGGCACTCAGGGATTTTTCAGAGGCAGCCAAGAAGGGGTTGACGCTTCCCGAGCGCTCGGTTGTACTTAGACGCGGGTGGGCTGCAGACGCAGTGGGCGAGCCGTTGTGGGACCTCTTGGCTTCGTTGGAGGACAACAGCGGTGTCAAACGCCCGTGGGTGACTGAATACGTGCACCCGCTTGTTGATCTGCTGACAAAGACGGCTGAACGGGCTACGGCAAGCCCTCTGACAGTAGGCGGTGGAACACTGGAAGCCCACGTCGGGTTTGCACTTGCCTTGCGCTGCACAGCAGCCAACAGCAACAGCGGAAAGCTCATTGACGCAGTTGTGGGGACGGAAAAGTCGCTTGTCCTGTGGGACAAGGTGTTCCACAAGTGCGCTGGGCTGCGGGAGAGCACATGGGTGCTGCGGAGCGCAAGCATGCTTTTTGCCAAGGGCTGCAACGACCCGCGACTGGCGAGCCTTCTGCTATGGGTTGCGTGCCATTCGCCCGAGCCAAGCAGACAGATTGTCCGCGCGGCCACCGACGTCATAGCCGAGATGAGCCGAACCAACCCAACAAGGCTGTGGAATCTAATCGAGCGTCCAGTGTTTGCAGAGATGACGGCGTCGCTGAAAGGAACCAGCAGTGCACAGCTGTACAAGTGGTCTGCGATTCTCAGCGCTGCGGTTGCAGGTGTCACTTCAAAGGATGGTGCGGACTCAGAGACAAAGGCACACACACTTGTGTCGATGGCGCTGGCCGTGCACCATCCGGCCGTGTTGCGCGAGTGCGGGAAGAGCAGCCTGTGGATTGCACTGATCCAGCGCGCAGCCGTTGATCCCGGGGAGCTGTGCCACGAGAACCTTGCGGCGCTGAAGCAGTGCGTAATCCAAGCGTTGGGTAGCGACACAGCAGCGGCAAAGGATGAGGATGAGGCCCAAGCGGCACTGAACTTGATCAAGGATCTCGTCTTCATCGGTGACGAGAGCGTAGCGCTGCGGCTCCTCGAGTACGCGCACAGCGACATCGACCCAGTGGAGATTGCATCGATCACCAGCGACGAGATCACTGTGTGGATGGCGCCCACCGACCAACTGTGCTTTGATCCGATCGAGGCCAAGAAGCGCACACAGGGAACAGCACGTTCATCCAAGACCAAGGACGAGCTCTGGGCCGAGAAGCTGCAGGAGGAGATTGCGCGCAAGAAGAACATTGCGCACAAGCTGAACAAGGAGGAGCAGGAGCTGGTGGACAAGCAGTTTGTGAAGGAAGCTGGGATGCGGAACCATGTGACCTGCGTCCACGACAGGCTGTGTCGCGGGCTGGCGATTGTTCGCGCTGTGGTTGACGGGAGCGCTAGCGTCGCCAGCGCCAGCATGCTTGTGTTGGTGCGCATCGTCGTGGAGCGCGCAATCATCAGAAGCGGTGCCAATGTTAGCCGCACGCTTGCTGGGCTCGAGATCGTCGACACACTGGTTGCAATGGCAAGGGTGGCCGACGGGCTGGACAGCGACATGCGGATGCCTGTGACTATGGGGCTTTTGCGGGCGCGCGGGTTCGAGGGAGTCGTCCCCGAGAACTGGATGCAAGAGTCTATGGAAAGCCTGGCGTCCCGCGTGTACTACCGGTTGCGCATCAACTGCGAGGCGTCGCCGCTGCCGCCAGCAGGCTTCAACTTCTTGTTGCCGTTCATGCAAGCTACGGCCGAGTCCGGCGGGTGGGGCCAAAAGGTCAAGGGCGGCGTCGAGGAGCACGACGAGTACGCGCAAATGGACAACGCGTCAGAGCAGCTGTCGATGGTTGTGGCGATCCTGTCGTTCCACGCGCACTTTGGCAACGTCGAGGCGATGCCGCGCAAGGAGATGCTGGAGCTGATGGTCCTGGTTATGGCCACACAGCCCGTCTTGCTAGCGCTCTGCCGCGACAGCATGGCCAAAATGGCTGAGGAGATGGAGGGCACTGACACACCGCTTGAGCGCGATGCATTGTTGGACGGCCTTGCGCAACCCGACAGCGCGGTGCGCGGTGCGTGCCTCCAGGCGCTCGACTTTGCGGATCTGACGGAACTGGACTACTCGGCCAAGCTGTGGGTCAATGTGGGCGGCAAGGGATCCGAGGACGTGGCGCTCGAGCAGAACGCAGTGCTTGCGCAGGCGCTGTGGGAGGACAACGGCATGGAGACGCTGCCGGGCCTGATCGCTGACATTGTGCCACTTCTAGGCAGCGCAGCTGGCGAGATCAGGAGCTGTGCGGCGCGCTCCATTGCGCTTGCGATCCGCGAGGCCCGAGAGCAAGCCGAGCAAGCTGATGCCGAACTGAGCCTTGACGACGTGCAAGACATGGTGGGGCTGACACTCGAGGAGCTGATGGCTGCGTACCGCACATGGCACACGTCGCTGGAGCCCGAATACGATTCGTATGGCATTGTGGTGGCGGGCACTCAGAACCGCAAGGATGTGGCGGAGCCGCGGGTGGCTGTTGCCGATGCTCTGTGCCACTTGGCGCCGGAGCTGGTGACAGCGGAGCAAGCCAAATCGCTGATCCAGTTCCTCGTCGGGGACGGCGTGCTAGGCGAGCGCGCAGAGTCTGTGCGTACGCACATGCTGGCGGCTGGGGCGCAAGCGGTGGCAGTGCACGGCGCTAAATGGTCTGCGCAGCTGATGCCAATCCTCGAGCGCTTCTTGGCGGAGAAGGACCGCGGCACTGCATCGTACGACCTCATCCGCGAGGGTGTAGTGGTTCTTCTTGGGCGTCTGGCGCAGCATTTGCCCGATGGAAGTCGCGACAATGATGCACGCATCGCCGATGCCGTTGACCGGCTTGTGGCAACGCTGTCGACGCCATCGGAGGCTGTGCAGAGCGCTGTCAGCGAGTGCTTGCCGCCGCTGGCTAAGCGCATCGACGAGGCCAAGTTCGCGGAGCTGATGAGCGCGGTCATGGCTAACACGCTCAATGGCAGCAAGTACTCGGACCGCCGCGGCGGCGCGTACGGGCTGGCAGGGCTTGTGCGCGGGCGCGGGCTTGCGGCGCTGAAGAAGTTCGGGGTGATAGACCAACTGCGCGCGGCAAGCGACGGTAAGCAAGCGTCCCAGGCGCAGCAGCGACAGGGCGCGCTGTTTGCGTACGAGACGCTGGCGACGACGGTTGGGCGGTTGTTTGAGCCGTACGTGATCCAATTCATCCCGCAGCTGCTTGCGCTGTTCGGCGACGGCAACACTGGTGTGCGCGATGCTGCGCTAGATACGGCGCGCGCCATTATGGGCAGCATCAGCGGACATGGCGTGAAGCTTGTGCTTCCGTCGGCGCTGGCGGGGCTGGCTAGCGACCAGTGGCGCACAAAGAAGGGCAGCGTGGAGATGCTGGGCGCTATGGCGTTCTGTGCGCCCAAGCAGCTGTCGATCTCGCTGCCGCGCGTGGTGCCTAGCATCGTTGAGGCGCTGACTGACACGCATGGCCAAGTATCGGCGGCTGCG